CTAAACCCCTAACCCCCTAAGCCCCTTAACCCTTGCAACCTTAAGCCCTATGAGAAAGACAGTTATCATAAACCTTATAGTGTGCTTTGTGCTTTGTAGTAAGCCTTGTAGTATGCCTGACAGTAAGACTTATAGCATGCCTTCTAGTATGCCTTATAGTAAGCCTTATGGTAGTCCGGTCGGCCTTACAGACTGCCTTAGAGTAAGCCCCATACAACAACCCTAAACCCTAAACCCTAAACCCTAAACCCTAAACCCTAAACCCTACACCCTAAACCGACTCCAGGACCGCCAGTTCCTGGACTTGCCGAGCCTGCTTCCCTCGAGGCTGGGGGCGGGGGGATGGAGGCCCGGGGTTGCGGTTGGGGTTTAGGGTTTTGGGTTGGGGTTGAGGTTTAGTTTTGGGTTGGGGTTGAGGTTTAGGGTTTTGGGTTGGGGTTTAGCGTTTTGGGTCGGGGTTGAGGTTTAGGGTTTTGGGTTGGGGTTGAGGTTTAGGGTTTTGGGTTGAGGGTTGGTTTTGGGGTTCGGTTTTTTGGGGTTGAGGGTTAAAGTTTAGGGTTTACTGCTTTGCTGGGTTTAGGGTTGACGTTTTAGGGTTTTGGGTTGAGGGTTTGGGTTTTTGGGTTTGTGGATTAGAGCGTCTTTGTCAGCCTTTATAGACAAAAAGACATTACTTAAACTGAACGGACCATGGGACATGAAGCCCGTATGAAAATTGTGAAGCCCGTATAAAACAATTTTAAATCTTATGAGCCGCCATGATCCGCAACAAAATCTTGTAAAACCCAAGACAGCCCGTAACACCCATAAAGCCCCTACAGCGCCCTTGTAAAACCCCCTAAACTTTGAAGACTCCAAACCCTCAACCCTAAACCCTAAACCCTAAACCTTAAACAAAGCCTTAAACCCCTCGACCCACGACCTGAAGCCCCTAACCCTCAACCCCAAACCTGGGTCCTTGTTGGCTACAAGTTTTGCATTTTTTGTTATAACCAAGCCCAATAAGGATTAAGAGTGACCATTTTTAATATATATATATATATAGCCCCAACAAAGAGGCAGAAACCTTAAAACCTAATTCCTGAACCTTAAACCCGAAACCCTAAACCCTAAACCCTAAACCCTAAACCCTAAACCCTAAACCTTAAACCCTAAACCCTAAGCCCTAAACCCCAAGCCCTAAACCCTAAATCCCAACGATCGGAGCCTTTCAGGGCCCACCTGGTTTTCAACGAGTCGAAGGTCATCTCGGCTCGGATGTTCGCCCACCGGGACGCGTCGGGTCCCTCCGTGGAGGTTGCCTGGCAGCTTTTTTTGTTAAGAACCCAAAAAGCACATAAGCATAAGCATTTTATAGAGATATCCCTACCTTATTGGGCTTCATTATAAGGAGTTTATATGGGATATCCCTATGCTATTTTTGGCTTATGTGCTTTTTTGGGGCCCTATTTGGGGTTTAGGGTTTAGGGTTCAGGGTATCGGGCTTCTATTAGGGAGTAGGTGTTTGGTTTGGGGTTTAGGGTTCAGCGTTTAGGGTTCAGGATCTACGGTTTAGGGTTTTTGCTTCAGTGAAGGCGAGAAGTTTAGGGTTTTTACAGGTGTGCAGATGCCAGCCAAGGTTATGTTCCTTGCTCCGCACAGCCAGGCCGAAACTAGGTCCGGTATTCCACTGGTATATTTCACATCTTCGCCCGAATTGGGCGTCAGAGGAGATTTTGTATATTTATGTACGATTAGTTTTTTTTTTAAAGTGTTTAGCCAACCTAGGAAAGGCTGCCCACGAACGCCGCAGAAGCACTTCACCGGGCTTGCCACGGGCAGCTTTGGAATGCCATGATCAGGATGCCTCTTCGCGAGGCGGGTGCTATCTTTAACGTGCCCTCGAAGTCTTCGACAAAATTGTCCGTTGAAGTGGTCCAACTCTCCTCGATACTCGGCTCTTGCTAAGCAACTTAGTTTCAGATTTCAACCTACCATCAGATGGATATGTACCTTATCATGCTAATTCGGCTAAGTTTCTTGCAGAGCCCTTAAGCCCCAAACCCTCGTGGCGTCTAAAGCTTATGCACCCCAAGAGCCTAGGCAATGGGTCCAGGAACTATCCCTTAAAACTCTAAACTCCCAAACCTTTAAATCCCTAAAACCTCTTAATCCCAAAACCCCCCAACCCCAAGCTAAACCTTGAGCCCTAAACCCCCCAAACCCCTTAAAACCCCTAAACCCAGAACGCAAAACCACCACAAAACCCTAAACCCTAAACCCTAAACCCTAAACCCTAAACCCTAAACCCTAAACCCTAAACCCTGAACCCTAAACCCTAAACCCTAAACCCAGGAAGTGGGTCGAGGAAGGCGAGTCGGAAGGAGTGGAGGCGGTCGTTCGCCTGAACTGCAGCGACCCGAGCCTCCTGGCGAGCGAGGCAGTCAAGGTTTGGGGAATTTGGGGTTTGGGTTTAGGGTTTAGGGTTTAGGGTTTAGGGTTTGGGGATTTTTGAGGTTTAGGGTTTGGAGGTTTAGGGGCTTAGAGATTTCGGTTTTAGGGTTTTGGGTTTGGGGTCTGGGGCTTTAGGGGTGTAGGGTAATATAGAGGCCTTGATAATGAATAGGGTTTTGGGGGAAATTATACTGGAACTATAAGAACCCCCCCCCCAAAATAACGTTGGTAATTATTTGGGCCCCTACATTACGCGCTAAACCCTAAAGAATGCCAGAAACCCTATCACAAACTGAAAGACAACCCTAAACCCTAAACCCTAAACCCTAAACCCTAAACCCTAAACCCAAAACTCTAAACCCAAGAGGCCTTCGGACAGTTTGGCCACATCCCACTGCCGCCCTACATGCGCCGAGATGCTGAAGCCACAGACTTGCAGGAATGATCCGGTCGCGCCAGTCATAGCTCGCGTCGTGCTTAAGGCTTTTCGATGTTCTTCGCATAATGGCGAGAAAGGTTGTGGTGGCCCTAAAACCCACAACCCTAAACCCTAAACCCTAAACCCTAAACCCTAAACCCTAAACCCTAAACTACAGGACTACCAGACCGTGTACGCCAAAGAAGACGCCTGCGGCAGCGTGGCGGCACCCACCGCAGGGCTTCACTTTACCGACGAGCTTCTGGGCAAGCTGGAAGCGAAGGGCATCCGGCGCTCGCCGGTGACGCTCCACGTGGGTGCTGGGACTTTTCGCCCTGTGACGGCGAAGCAGGCCACTGATTCTTGTGATTGTATGATCATAGATATGATTATGTGTGGTGATGATATTTATAATTTGTTCTTTCACCTTCTTACCATTATCATTACCAGTACTATTATTATCAGTATACTCATGATACTTGCTATTACGATGATGAGCGTCGTTAATCTAAACAGTGTGATTTGGTATTGGTGCAACTCGTATTACTGCTGTTTTTACTATTATCATTTTGGCTATTATTTTTGCTGCTAGCAGTGTTTTTCATTTATCATCATCATGATTGTTATTACTAGTATTGACTGTTCTGGGTTCGGGCTTCCGGCAGGCTGGTAGGCGAATCTGTATGCCACCTGAACAACAAAGAACCTCCATGTCTGCATGGAAGACGCCCCCTTATAGGGTTCAGGATTTAGGGTTTAGGGCGTTGAGGGTTCAGGGTTTAGGGTTTCGGGCTCAGGTCGGGTTTAGGGTTTAGAGTTCAGGGTTTAGGGTTTAGGGCTCAGGTCGTTTAGGATATAGGGTTGAGGGTTTAGCGCTTCGGGTTGCCCCTGCTACGACAAGGTTTCGGAGCACGCCATGCATACCGAGTCCTTCTCGATGGAGGTTCCTGCCCTCGAGGACCCTAAACCCTGAACCCTGAACCCCGAACACTGAACCCTAAGCCCTAAACCCTAAAACCTAAACCTAAACCCTAAAGCCTAAACCCTAAAACCTAAATCCTAAACCCTAAAACCTAAAACCTAAAACCTAAGCCCGAAGCCCTCGAGGAAGTGGCGAAGAGCTTGAAGGACAAGCGGCCGGCCGCCCGGTCTGGACGCCTGCAAAATCAGGCTTTAGTTTTTAAGGCCTCAGGTTTCAGGCTCAGGGTTTAATCGGTTTAGGGCTTAGGGTTTAGGGCTTAGGGTTCAAGGTGTATCAGATTTGATTTGGGTTCAAGGTTTAGGATTCAAGGTTTAGGGTTTTATACACATATGCATGTAAGTATGTATGTATTTATGTACTGTATGCTATGTAGGTAGGTAGGTAGGCAGGCAGGCTTTGTGTGTGTATATATATATATACACACATAGATTGAACCGCGCACGCCTACCACAATCTGTAAGCAGAGGGATGCTGCGGGATACATGAGATTGTCGCACTGCCCAAACTTGTCAAGTTTTTACGTCTTGTGCGGGCACATGTTTAGGGTTTAGGGTTTAGGGTTTAGGGTTCGTCTCTAACAGTAATCGTAGTAATCGAAGAAGCCAGTACTGGCCCTCTGATCTTTAGTGCTTGATGGTTCGAGGCTAGAGCCTACCCGGAAGCCAACAACGGTAAATCCTCGTAAACCAAAAGACCCTAAGCCTTGAATCCCTTACCCGTAGACCCCAAACCCCACACAACCCTAAACCCTATACCCCAAAACGCTACGCCGTTAAACCCTAAGCCCTGAAGCCCAGGTGGTTGCTGTGGGAACCACCACAGTCCGGACCCTCGAATCGCTGTACTGGTTGGCCAGCAACCCACAGCGAAGCTTGGCACAGGGGCTCCACCTGGGACAGTGGGAAGCCTACAGCATGGAGGAGGAGCAAAGCTTCAAACGAGCCCAAGAAAACCTATGAACCCCTATAAAGCCCTGTAACCCATAAAGACCGATGCAGCCCTAAATCCGGAAGTCCAAGCCCTAAACCCTAAACCGATCAACCCCTAGAAGCTCCGCACTAAATCTTCGAAAGCTCTGATAAGACCCATGAAGGAGGAGGGGCCCTTAACGGTGGTACTTTCAGGATTCACCATAAGGGGCCAGAGTAATTAGAATAGGGTCTGCCGATATGTTCTACTATAGTTCTATAAGGAGTAGGATTTCGCAAGTGTACAGGCATCTATATCAAAGCCCTACAGGCCTTTTATCAGACCCTATGAAGGAGGAGCGAGAAAGTAGCTCAGGTTTAAGTTTAGGATCTAGCGTTTTGGCATTTGGGTTGCAGGAGAATCGAGAAAAGGGCTCTGGCGAACATTGCCGAAACCCGCCCTAATCTGAACTCCAAAAGAGCTACAGACAGAAATCTTAAGTCCAACAGAGCTACAGACAGAAATCTTAAGTCCAACAGAGCTACAGACAGAAATCTTAAGTCCAAAAGAGCTAGACAGAAATCTTATGTCCAAAAGCGCTAGACAGAAATCTTAAGTCCAACAGAGCTAGACAGAAATCTTAAGTCCAAAAGAACTACAGACAGAAATCTTAACTCCAAAAGACACCAGACCCAAGCCCTCTGAATCCTCCACCTGGGACCGGAGCCCCGCGCCCGAAACGCTCCAAAGCCATACTGCTAATATCCATCGCGCAGTTGAGGAAAAGGTTCTCCTCTATCTCTCTATACGCACACACATGCATTTATATATATATATATACATGTATATGTATATATATATATATATATGTATATATATATATATATATAGATTTATGTTGTTTATGTAGGTATTCCCATGTTAAGGACACGAAAAACTGAGGCCCTCCCAAACCCCCGCAACCCAGAAGCTTAGGGTTTAGGGTTTAGGGTTTAAGGGTTTAAGGGTTTAGGTTTAGGGTTTAGGGTTTAGGGTTTAGGGTTTAGGGTTTAGGGTTTAGGGTTTAGGGTTGTCCCGGAAGGAGGGTGCAGGTGGCTTACCTGCAGCAGAGGCGCTGCAGCGACTCTGCGACGAAGCGAAGAAAGTCGGGTTAACCCAGGTCTCTCGGCGTCAATGTGGGACTTTCCGAAAATAGGGGTAC